CCCCCCCGAAATTCAGAATGCCTATCCAGCTATGTTTCAAGGTTTAGCTACTCGTCTCTTGGTCAAGTACCCGGATACTTTTACCCCAAGGAATGGTAAGAAGTTATGGGCTCAATTGGATTAAATATTTAGGTTGATTATATATTCGCTGTCTTGCCGAAGAAGCATGCCATAGAGATTAAACACCTACAATTGAAGTGTATACAGAGTTCTGTGACATCAGTCAACAGTGTGGCTTGTTGCAGCTCAACTGAAGACACCCACAATTTGTGCTGATGCGTTCGCGGCGGCATCTCTACGGGATTGTCTAGTCTCCGCCTGGAGCACTCTTCCGCCAAATATTCCCCGGCATATCTTTGTCAGCTTTATGAATTGCAACCACATGGAAGGCTAGCGGGCTAGGTCGGTTCGTTACAACGTGCTAAGCTGGTCAGACGGTATGAGCGAGGCGCTGGAACACCCTGTCTCTGATCCACTCGTGGGTTGCAGGTATGAGCTCAAGAATCAGCTGTGGGGGCCGGATTGGGTTGCGTTGATTGGCATTTAGGCTCTTTGATTATACGTATCACGGCCTCCAGTTAGAAGCATTGTAGGATCGACAGAGAGCGTGGCAGAGAAGGATGGCCGATTACTGGGTGCCGAGATCGATGCATCAGCATATCAGGCCTGGTTTTTCAGTCTTATGCATGCGTGCCGCTCGGCTGCTTCTACAGATGCCGGACCACAAAGGCGGTATGTCTTCCCCGTGGAGTTGAGTCTCAATGGCGAGCACCGACTGCTACCGAGGACTCCAACGATAGCCGGCATGGTGAAACAATCTGGCCGTGATGCTGCCCAGGCAGATACAGATGTACCGGACTTAGGTTCGGTGGAGATAGCTAGGCCTATTCGCTAGCCCACTTGCTAACCTCGCTCTGCATAGCTAGCTGGGCTGCGATGGCGCTCACCAATCACTATTAAGTTGTTTGGAGATCCTGCAGGATGGCGCCTGCCGAGGTGCTATAATTAAGCAGGTCCATTTATCTCATTAATTGGCAGATCCATCTCACTCGCCTGTTGACTCGTGTCGACATGGAGGTGGTGGAGACCTAAGCCGGAAGGATGAAACTATGGCAGGTACGACGCTGGTTTGACTTGCGTCTTTCAGTAGGTGCAACTGACATCATTATTAAACAGCAACGTCTCCCGATACAATTGCCGATTCTAAACTGCATTGGGACCGTATTGTTCGTTACCAGCGTGCGACAGATTTAACTATATTCGGGACGGCTTCCCTCCATTCCGATCGCCCAAACGGCCCCTCTTTCTTCTTCCTCAATCACAGGCGCAGCGAACGCGACGGGCCTTTGCAGCTACTCGCCTGGTCTTGATCACGCGCTGTATCGCATTTTACGCCCTGACTGGATTCACAGATCTGCCAAGGTACATGTTAAACTGATTTCAGACTTTACGCGAGGAGGGCGAGGAGATTTAATGCTGGCGCCTAGCGCGTCCACGCTGTTGTTTGAAAGGTGAGGGGGTTTCTCCTCCAATTCTAGCCGGTCAATTAGGCCGCAGCCACCAGCGACTGATATCGAATTTCTAGACCCGAAGTAGCCTTTCCTGGGGAATCCATCAACTGTCATCGAATCTAGGCCTATACCTAATATTCTGCTGGGCTTGGGCAACTTGTTATTGCATTGCAGTGTCTTTTAGACTTGGCTCTTCGTCTGGTGTTTAAATATACCCACCTGCCTGCTCTCCATTCTGCATGCCGGACCAGCCTAGCACCCGGCCATCACGCCAGCGCCAACGAAAAGGGGCCCTAGCAGCGTTACCTCTCGGTGCCTTCCCCGGTGTTACTCGCAGCAATTTTGCGACTCTGACCCGTTGAGGTCATTTGAATCTGTGATTTTGCTTATTTCTGCTTCAATCTTTGCGATCGTCGCCATGTCTGCGTCAGGCCCTCCGCAAGGGCTAGCTGGAAACCCCCAGCATTATGATCAACGTTATCACCAGGAACAACCCCACCAAGGTCAACCCCACCAGCATCAAGGTCAACCTCACCCAGGCCAGCCAGTATATGATCCCTCGGCAGTTAAACTGACCCGGGGGACTAGCTGTGTCCTTTGCCAGCAACGCAAGGTCAGGTGTGACAAGAATAAGCCGTGCGCCAACTGTGTCAAGGCCAACGTTGAGTGCCGCGTGGTTCCTCCCCAACCACCAAGGCGGCGAAAGAAAAGGCTCCAGGAACGAGACCTCATCGACCGCCTAAAAAAGTACGAGTCGCTCCTCAGTGAGAATGGTGTCAAGTTTGAACCAATCGGCTCAGAGCTCCGCTCCGATTCAGCCCCCATGGATGAAGTGGAGGAACTGGAAAATGACTTTGAGACTCTAAAAGCGACCCCAGAAACAAGCATGTCGCCGTCGGGTTCAACTAGCGAAAAGTAGGTTGATCTATCTAGATGTTCTCATCCCATGATGGTGACGCTAATCCGCTATCTCTGCAGGCCATCCAGCTCGATATTTGCATTGCACAGGGAGGTTGGTCTTCAAGGTTCCCCAACCATTGAAACCTGTTGTATCTTGCTAACGCTGCAGCTCTTTAGTTCAGGGCTAGTGAGAACTTGATTCAGCATTCTTCGGATGAAGAGGGTGAGCCTGGTTCTCAAATTCACCGAGCGTTTGATAGACTATTCAGCAACGAAGACGGGTTTCCGTTTATTGTTGGGGGTTCCTTCATTCCCGTCACCCAGGCTCACCCGAACCCTATTCAGATCTTTCAATTATGGCAAATCTACATCGACAACATCAATTCCCTCCTCAAAATCACACATGTCCCCACGGTCCAGGCCCAGGTGCTCGGGGCGACTACTCAGTTGGAAAAGGCACCGAAAAACGTGGAGGCCCTGATGTTCGGCATTTACCTCATGGCCATCACTTCTCTCGAAGACAAGGACGTTCAAAGAATGTTCAACGAAGAAAAACAACCCTTACTTAAGCGATATCTCACAGCTACCCAACAGGCTTTGGTGAATGCCAGTTTTTTGAAAGCTGAAGACCCTCTAACTCTCCAAGCGTTTGTGCTCTACTTGGTACGCTTCGAACCCCTACCTTTTTCGCGCACGAATATCCCTAACATGCTGCCAGTTTGCTGTTCGCTGGTTCATTGACCCACGCCAACTGTTTTGTCTAATCGGCATGGCTGTGCGTCTAGCCCAGCGGATGGGCCTCCACCGCGACCCTGGGGGCTATGGCCTTCCTCCTTTTGAGGTCGAGCAGCGGCGTCGGCTCTGGTGGGTTATCGTCGGGTACGATCGCCGCCTAGGAGAAATGACCGGATCAACTGTCACTGCGCTGTCGAGCGGGGGAGACTGCAAGCTTCCACTCAACGTCAATGACAGTGATCTCCATATCCAGGGCAAGGAAATGCCTTCGTCACATAATGGCCCCACGGAAATGCTCTTTGCCCTCACCCGAGTCGAACTATCGATAGCAGTTGCAAGTAATAGCAACCGAGACAGCCAACAAGTCAATAGCCAGTCTGGTGGGAAAGAGGGTTCAACGAGCTCTGCCTCTAGCTCCAAACCTGATCAACCGACATTTCGACTAGCAATCCCCGACTCGCCGACATACACTCTTGACGGATTCTGCGCGCATATGGAAGGAACCTACCTTGCCCATTGCGATTCAAAAATTCCCCTTCATTTCTTCACTCTGACAATGACCAGACAGTCCCTGTGTAAGATGCGTATCATCAACTTCCTTGTACGCATGAACAGCACCGATAAGATTCCGCTAAAAGAGGTGGAGCGCGAAGATCTATTCTCTCAAGCGACGCAAATGATAGAGTACGACAATGTTGTTCAGTCCTCCGAGAGTCTGGCCCCATTCAGATGGTACTCCAGACATCACTTCCCATTCCCAGCATACATGTTCCTTGTCCAGGAGCTACGCGCCCGAGTTTCAGGGCCTAGTGTAGAACGAGCATGGGATGCTATTGCTGCCAACTACGAGCTTCGCGGTTTATTGAATAATTTCCACAACCCGATGCACCTGACCTTCAAAAACACATTCATCAAGGCGTGGGATGCCCACGAGTCCGCCCAGCGAGCTCTGGGGAAGAATACAACTGTGCCGCGCTTCATCCATGTTCTCAGGGAGCGTTCAGAGCAGCGCCGTATGGAGAAAGCAGACATGCACAGCATGGATCACTCGGCCGGGATGAGCACCCCTTCTCACAGCGGCGATGCGTCAGTTCATACACCGGGAAATCACAGCTCGAGCACCGGCATGTCCCCAGCAGCAGATTTACAACCGAGTGGTCCTGGGCCAATGGCCCCAGGACACATGGCAGGTCCCAGAGGCCAACCCCAGGGTATGGATTGGTCCTCATATGTCGTCCAAGGATATCCAGCCCCAACGCCATACCAAAATGCAGGCGCCTTTGGCTCCTTTGGAATGCCGATGGGCGGAATGCCGGGAATGGGAATGGGTCCTGGCCCTGGCCCTGGGGGTCCAATGTTTGGAAATCAGCCACCCAGGATGTGATGAACCATTGCGACGATTTAATCTGTATACCAAGGCTATATGATTCTAGATATGTATGATAAATTTAATAGGGCGACTTTCTTTTGAATAGAGGCAATACTCTGGCCGGATACACCCGATATATTTCTCTTATGCGTGGCTAAATTTATTTGTTGGCGTGATCTTCATTACTGAAGGTGCGTTATCTGGATTCGGAGACGGAAACTTGGAATCCTTTTCCTTTATTAGGGAGCTTCATCATTGGGGTTTCTGCCCCAGAAACTCAACCCAATCAAACATGCCATGCAAGGACAGGTCGTTGAAGCTGTCAAAGAGATCCTGCAGAAGCTGGTTCGCCTCGTCGCTCGAAAGTCCCATGACCTCGTGTTTCGCCATCATCGCGCTGCCCCAGTCCTCGACTATCGACTGCGCAAAGGAGCCGATCTCCCGCAGACGGGCGTCGTGGTGCCAGCGCCCGATGGGCAGGCGCTTGTGCCGGACCTGGACGTTGACGAAGCCCGTCTCCCGCAGGACGGTGGGCATCTCGTCGGGGAAGAAGAGGTTCCAGCCGAAGACCTCGGAGAAGGGCCCGGCCACGAGGGAGTAGAGCCTGGTCATCGGGTGGTTTGTCGTGTCGAAGGCGTCGTTCTCGGCGTAGATCCTGGTGACCACGTCGTGGCATTCGATCCAACCACCGGGCTTCAAGTTCCTAGAGGGAGAAGCATTGTCAGCAAGATTTACCGGATCGAGCATGATAGAAAATGATAGGTTCTCTTACTCGAAGCATCTCTCGATCAGGCGGCGCGGGTGGCGGAGAGTCTGGACCGTTGCCCGGATGAAGAAGAGGTCCGCGCCGCCGTATATGCTCGTCCACGGCCGGACCTCATCTTCCAAGTCTTCCACGTGGAACTCGACATTCGGCGCAGCCCACAAGGGCTGGATGGGGGAGATGTCGGTCCCGATGATGCGTGTGCCGGGGTACTTCTCAGCAGCTGCAACAATAGTAAGCAGGAATGCGGGAAGGATGGGGGGGCAGTTAAAAAAGGGCGGATTTCGAACCGTCTGACGCCCAGAATCCAAACCCAGTCCCCAGGTCCACAATCTTCTGAGGGTGGTCCCCGATGGGGGCGGAGCAGATCTTTCCCTCGAAGATGTAGTCCATGTAGAGTTTGTGCTTGAGCCCTTCTCGCAGCTGCTCGGTGTCGTCGTTTGGGAGGCCATATCGATCCTTCACCAGGCCCTGGTATCTCCTGGTTGAGTACTCCCCCCGGTAAGCCCGTGTATAAAAGAAGGGTACAGCTAGTATGCCGACGGTAAATCGGGGACTCACCTCCCATTCTCGTATGTGTGTTCTAAGCGAGACTCGGACACCGAGGTAAACTCTGAATCAGCGATGGACTCATCATAGTCTGATGTTGGGTCGTCCTCGAGGTTCATGGCTCGAAGGACAAGCAGGCACTCCTACGCCCAAGGTTCGGCATGCCAGTACGCGACGGCGGGATCCGAAACTCGCAAACTATTTCCCCGTGCCTAAGGAAGGACGATGAAGAACAAGGTCACGAAAAAAAATGGTCAAGCAGAGCCAGACAAGACAAGACAGTAGCAACTCGGAAAACAAAGATGATAATGGAGAATGAAAACCTCGCCAGAACTAACAAAAACAGGGCTAAGGAAAATTCAGGAACGAATTTTCATTCCACTCTGTCACTCTGTGAATGGAGAAGAAGAAACTAATGCGTATGTGAGAATGCTCTTCGAGAATGTCCAGCAAACAGATTTAAATAGTATTGAATCAAATGGCAGAGGGAGCGGGCAGGAGATGATTGAGAAGTGAGAAGGAGTCCCGGAGGTTCGGGTCTGTTTGATTAAACTACGTTTTAAGTTAGATATATAGCAGGTCTAAGCTGAGGCCCCAGTCTACCCACGACCCGTGTGGATGGGAGAGAGGACTCGAGGCATGTACCCTGCTGGGTAGCGTGTGTAAGGCTACCCGTTTGAGGAGTAAATGCAGTGCCAGCAGTAGTGTAGTACTAGGCAGGTGAGTGGTGCATGGATGGAGGGATAGGCAGGCTGGGACCCAACCAGCTGGGTGAGGGGCCCGGTGGGGAGCAGGGGGGAGGAGATGCTCGGGTCTGGCCGTTGGTTGTATTACCTATTGGCCGTTTGCTGATCACGACCTGGAAGGAGAACACCGACTGGCAGTCAGCAGAGGCTTGAGCTGGAGGTACGTTGAGACCCAGGCAGAGTGTTTGCTGACAGGTGCTTTAATCTACATCAAAGCCACCTACGTTACGGCTTGGCTGCTATGTATGTCCCTGCCACCCGGTAGGCTCTCCGTATCATCAGGCCAAGGGTGCGTGTGCAGAAAGCAGCACGGACGAGGCGGGATTAAGGGAATACGGTTATTACCTTGGGCACAGGCCATCAATACCAGAGCTCGGTGATCTACCTACCTTCCTGGGTAAGGTAGGCCAGTCTGCTCGCCCACTTGGAAGCAGATGTTGGTCGGGGGTGCTGCTGATTTAATCTCCCCAGGTGGGCTCTCCCTAGCCTTCTGCTCCCAATGGAGTGGAACGGAGGGGTTGTCATAGCACGGCATGCGGTGGGCTCTCCAGTCGCGGCCCGGGAAATCGGTAAGGTGGCTGGGACTTATTGGTCGGCATCTCCCCCTCACACGTACATGTTCACTTACATGATGGGAAGCCCGAACCCGCAGCTGCATGATGGTGGGTGTATGGCCACCTGTGCATTGTATCCAGCCCCTCCTCGGGACAAGAGACGCATCTCGCGGCCGGGATGATAGCAGAGTGACGTGGACTGCACCTTGTCGTCTCTGCTTGGGTGCTTTGCTCGGCCGCCCGAAGCAGGGCATTGGGCATCCGTTTCCGAGGGCTGGGGAATACCCAGATCTGTCTTGTTGGTTGTGACTGCGGCTCGGGTGAGGGGCGTGTGGAATTGCGTCCTGCATCCGAGTTGCTATTACTTAATAAAACGCGTTTGCATGAGTAATCCCTCGAGACGAGGAGACGAAGGGAAAAAAGAAAGGAAAAAGAAAAAGCAAAGTGCTTCTATGTGCGGACGAAGTGCGTGCAGCTTGGGATTAGCGCCCAGCGCCAAGACTGCAACTTGGAGTCCTCGGAAGAGCAAAGAGGAGCCCTGCAGAGACGACCTCACGCTAATCAGGCCTGGCTCGAAACTGACCGAGGTTTTATGAGCGAGAACCGTAGCCAAAGCACTGATCTGTTTATCGCATAACGAGGGGATGTGTGGTCCCAGGGCTTTGGGTGCCATCTGCTATCATAGAGCCGTGGTGCAATGGCTGCAACGGGCGCACAGCATCCGGGAGTGTTGCGTCTGCACCCCTCCTAATTAATGGATCCAAACTCGCAGCACGGAAGAGCCATTGCTTTTCTCTTCCTATGGGTGGGCTACTATGGCGTGCATGTTTAGTGCCGAGTCAAGCACGTTAGCGCTGGACGTCATGGCTCTGTCCAACTGACTCGGGCAGTCCGAGGCACTAACTGGAGCGGGTAGCGGTTTCCTTTAGCGGTTGCCGCAGTTGAACCTGGTCTCTGCTGCAGCAAGCCCACCCCTTGGATGCATTGGATGGTCACGTTGCATCTGAACATGATCCAGCTTCCATAACGCTCGGTTGGTCAACTGCATGCAGGAGTTTGCATGTTGCAGCAGCCAATGGGTCCTCCTCGGGACCAGCACTGGCAGGCAGCCCGAGCCATCTGCGGTGTGCGGTGCACCGTGCCAATGTAGAGTGGTATTATTGCCTTGCCCACTAATGCAATTGGACAGGTGCAGGTATGGAACAGCACGGTTTCAGATAGCATCGAGACAGCAAGAAGCACTTGCAGAGAGAGGCATTGATTCCAGGGATTCAGTTCGGGCAGGCATCGCGCTATTACTGCGCTGAGATATGGACAGGCTAGATCCGTGACCGTTGTGGCTGAGGATTCTCACAGCCATTCAACTGTAGCTTGGTCAAAGTATCACATTGTCTAGACTCCTTATCCGTCTTCGGCAAACAGTTTAAACAAAGAAATATAACAAATACTACCATTTCTAGTTCTCATCTAGGTACTTCCAAGACGGGCACTCAAAGTCTAGGGCAATGAGCATCCCGCCTTATGTCAGCATTCTATGGCCGCTGTTACCCCTCTCCAATTGGGCAAGCGCGTCTCGCCAGGCGCGTCCTCGATCGCTCACACGCGTAAACAGTCTTGAAAAGTGCTGGTTCAATTTAAAGTACCTGCTCCATTCGACCCAAAGCCCTCCTTACATCACGACTACCCGCTCGGTCTGTCTGTCTCAGTTTCACTGGATTCCTACAGCATTGGCATAGGCGTCATCTTTTTCTTTCTTTAATTGTGCATTTTATTTTATCTACATGATCCTTGTCATTCATATCCCGCGCTGCCTCCGTCACATGTAATGTCCCTCGCCCTTTAGATACGCCCTCGACGACCTGTGTCCAAGTTCGCGTCGCAGTATATCTTGCCCATCTTGTATCCCATCCAGCAGCCTACGACCTCACGGCAAAACCGGCATTTCATGCGTCTTTCAAGAATAAGGAGGAACATACGTGCAGAGCCCGCCAGCCATGTATCTTCCACGCTCTCTGATATCAAAACTGTACTCGCATCTACAAGCCACGCGACATCCACTGTCTCCGCCGGTCCTGATCCTCGTCGCATTAGAACCCGACGCACTATGCGCGTGCCGAATCCTGACGAGACTTCTCAAGCATGACTATATCCCACACAAGATTCACCCCGTAGCCGGGTACAGCGACCTCGAGAAGGCGGGAGCCGAACTGGTAGCCCCGATGATGGAGTCCCAGGGCGGTAGTGGAGGCGTCGTCGTGTGCCTTGGTGTCGGGGGTATGATGGATCTTGGGGAAGTCCTCGGTCTTGAGAGCCAACCCGAAGCCCCTTACTCCGGTGTCGAGGTATGGGTCATTGATGCCCACCGACCCTGGAACTTGGGCAATGTATTCGGTGGCTTCCCATTAGAACCAGCCGCGGAGACTTCAAGCTCGTACCAGTCCAGAACTCCGCATGGTGTGACGGAAGGCCGAATCCAGAGAGTATACAATCCGGGCAAGGGCGGTATCATTGTTTTCGATGACGGTGATGTTGAGGAGGATTTGACCGGGGAGCGTGACGCGTATCTCGCACTATTGGATATGCCCGAGGTTGAAGACAACGGGGAAGATCTAGGCTCTGACGACGACGAGAGTGACGGAGGTGCAGATGGGGATGAGGATAATGACGGCCAACAGTCCCCTCGCGTAGGGCAAAAGAGGAAGAGCTTGTCGGATGGACATGATTTTGAGGATAGCGACGATGAGGACAGCCGGCCTAGACAACGAAAGAGGAGCAATTCGGTATGTCTGATATCTATGGTCGAACCCATTCTTGTTGGTGCTAACTTCTCCCCAGTCGACTCCGATCCCAGATTCCTCTCCTCAGAGGCCTCAGCCAAGAGGGTTAGTATCATTACGAGAACCATATTTAGGCCTATCGAGTGATCCCATTGAGCCTCCTTCAGCTGCTCAAGAAGCACCAGCTCCATCCGCTCGATCGTTGAGGAAGCGCTTACTACGAATGCGGCGAACTCACGAATCAGTCATTCGTCAATACTATCGAAACGGTTCATGTTTTGCAGAACCCATATCATCAATGATGTACTCTCTCGCATCGGAGCTCGGTCGCGAAGACAATGACCTTCTTTGGCTAACAATTGTTGGAGTTACTTCGATGGAGCTCTACGGACGCTCTTCGGCTGGTATAGCGGCGCCTGTAAGGTCGTCGGATAGGAGGAAGCCCACAGGCTGGCTGGGTGTTCGTGGTGCACGAATACGTCAACTGCTGCGTGATGAAGTCCGGAGACTGAACCCACCAGAAATCACCAATGGCAAGGTTGCTCCTGAGAATACAGGCATAATTCCCACCACCGCTCGAAACCCCGAGGACACTGGCATTCGATTGTCTCCTGAGCCGAGGTTTCTACTTATCCGACATTGGAGCTTATATGACAGTATGTTGCACTCCCCATATCTATTCTCTCGTCTGAAAACCTGGAGCGAGACCGGAATCAAACGCCTTCACAAGCTGCTCGCGAAGATGGGTGTCAGCTTGGCTCAATGCAAACAAAACTACACGCACATGGATATGATGCTAAAAAGGGAACTCCGAGCCAAGCTCCTCAAGTACGGGTCCTTATACAATCTTGATGAGATGGTTCCCGCTGTGGATACGGACGGGAAGGATCGCGGTGGCGCCAAGGATGGCTGGGGTTTCGTCAGGAGCTGGGGATGGCGAGCAACTCTGAGTGCTGAAGATGTGGGTGTTGTCATTGGTGCCTTGTTGGAGGTTGGCAAGCACGCCCAATCTTTGCCGGAAGCTCCAATCACAACCGCACAGGCCTCCCAGGATCCCGACGAAGGGTTCGATTTCAGCGCACAGGCTGAAGAGTGGGTGACCCGGTTCTGGGAAGCCTATGACGCACTGGAAGAGTAAGCGAGCCTCATTATTCCGTCCTTTTCGTGTGAAGGTGACAACAAGCTAACATGGTGATAACTCAGTATCGATGCTCTCAAGGCTGGTCTGCCTACCGCACAATTTCTACACCGTGCTATCTACCGCACGGGAACCTCGCTCATCAACAAGAAGCAAATCAAGCATCTGCGTGCTTTCCGAATGTGTGTTGTCAAAGATGGACCAGACGTTGCATTATTTACCCATCCTGCTGCTCTAACAAAACTCTCTCTCTGGATCGGTGAGGCTCTGGGTGAGCAGGAAAAAGAGGCTCATGGAAAGCTATCTCACGGCGGACGCGGAACTCCTCTGGTCGTAGCCGGTCTGGATGAGAAGCGAGGGACGTATGTTATTGTCGGTACCGGCGGTGGTGGCGGTCCCGATACCGCCTTTCTCGACCGCGAAGCAGCGAAACGAAAACAGGAGGAGCGAGAGGCCAAGGCGAAGAAGAAGGAAGAAGCTAAGAAAATTAAGCAAAAAATAAGAGAAGAGAAGCGAGCGGCAAAGACGGAAGCTGGCCAAGATGAGGATGAAGAGTTGGAAACGGAGTCTGAGGCGTCAGATGCGTCAGGTTCGGACGATGACTCGGACGATGATGAAATGGAGGACCGTGATAAGAAAAGCTATGGTCTGAACAAGTTTGGCATTGCCTTTGCCGAGGTTGTGTCGGAAACAAGTGCTCGGGTTCGGATAGACAGCTTCGACAACTGCGTGGTCGAAGTGAGGAAAGAGGATTTGGGTGGCTTCCTGGAGAGTCTCAGCATGAAGACTGTCGTGGGCTAAGGCATTAGGATTCGAGATGGGCTCGTTGGATATGTATGATATGGGCTCGCATTGGCGCTGGGATGAAAATGGGCTGGCATTTGTGAACAGGAGCGCTTGGGAGGAGTTTTTTATTTTAACTCATATATGTTTTCCGTTACCCCCATTATAGACGAGCAATACACTACTTGCATTGAGCTTTTACTAAACAGACCAAATCCCCTAAGCCGTTGAGATTAGTGTCTGCGGACAAAGAGCCCCGTGCCAAGTTCCTAGACTCTTCGGCTTTGCAACCTGCTGGAAGTTAGGTAGCCTTAGCAAGAAACAAAGATCTGGCATAGGGAACGTGCTAAAGCTTTGGACAAAGCGTAGAGGGCAGAACAGCATTGGTTCAGGACTTATAAATCCCACTTGTACCCCAGAGATCACTTGTGTTGATTTGCATATTTAGCCTCTCACTCCTGGTCATCTGTATCCTACGTGATTGCAAGAAAAGCTGACCGTAACTTTACCCAGCTCAAGATGTGCGAAACCGTACGAACCAGAATGGCATGCGGCCACACCCTCGACCATACTCGGAGGGTGCCCGACTGTCCCTGCAAGGGCTCAGACCCGTCGCACCCCAACATCGTAGAGTGGAGGTACATCCCCGACACGTGCGCGGAATGCCACCACGGACCGACGCTGTTCCAGGAGAACCGCGCGAGCTACGAGTGCGATCACGCGCTGCTCATGCGCTGCTACATCAAGGCGAAGGCGCTCGGGGACAGGGAGAGCATGGCTATCCTGGAGCGGCTGGCTCATGAGAGGAGTGTGCGGCTGATGAGGGAGAACTCGAGGACTCTGAGGGGTACACAGGGCGGGTCGATAAGAAAATAGGTTCTATATTCAATGGGTATTTCTATGGTTGTCATTCTAAGACTCGATGCTGCTTGCTTGCTTGCTTGCTTGTTTGCTTTTTGAACTTGAGTGGAAAGATTAAAGATTATTGAGTGATGTGCTGTAAATAAAAGCAGATACGCTTGCCAAATTTGGGAATATTGTGTGTGTGTTTGTCCGTTTTCCCGGATTTTGCCGTTTCGAAAGAGATAGGGAAGAGTAGACATGTTTAAAAAAAATAAAAAAAAAATAAAAAAGAGAGAGAGAAATGTGGTGTTTCGTGGATGACCACGTCTTGATTAACTCAAAAACCCGAGGCGAATGTCTTGAGGTCTCAAAACCCAACAAACGATGAAATTCCATCATCAGGTCCCAAAGGTATCCTCGTAGAAAAAGCCCTTGGCGTCTTGGGTTAAGGATTCTGGTGACGTAGAGCGGGCGGGCTGCTGGATATCTCGTTCATTCATGCTAATTCTAATCGATTTTGTCAGTGACTTGTAACTTAGATTGATTCAAGGCGATGTGACAGACATGAAAGATTCGGAGTCGGCTTGTGATGAGATATCATCTTCAGAGTCGGAGCTGGAGAAGGAGTGTACATCATCGCTACCAGCATACGCAAAGGTCTGGTACTTGAATCCGAGCGGGAAATCTTGGAAACAGGTCAAGGTATGGCCGAAAACCTGATCGCATTTCCGCTCCTCAAAGTCCTTCAAGCTCGCCAAGGGTTCCTCTTGAAATGGGACGCCCCAAGGAAGCTGGTACGTTGAGGGATCAATGCTTGAAGAGTTGCTTCCAAACTCGCTAGTAGCTTGGCCGGATAATCCCCATAAATTTTCGATATTTTCCAGTTCCATCTCGGTGTTCGGGGTCACCGTGGCAAAAAGAACCTGGATGTCCATTGCAGAGGGGTCGGGAAGGAAATCAGCAGAAGCCTCAGCCCTGGACGTCGATTTCGGAGAGAGAGGCGGTGTGTCGACGACCGGCTCTGCGTGTGTGCCAAACGAAGTCTCTCCAAACTGCGTGTTCCACCCCATGGGTCTATTTTTCGATTCATTGCCCTCATCTGTCATAGGAGGAGATGGCTGTAATACAGCTGGTAAGTTGCCACTTTTGCTACCCTCCAGTCGAGCTTTCTTAGGCTCGGCACAAGCTTGGCCATCTATCGAATCGCACTTTGGTCTTTTCAGCAGACGAGATCCGTCTGAATCATTAGACATGGTGGATGATCTGATGTTGAACAAGAAAATACCCTTAATTGATCAAGCTGATAATTCGAGGAGGCTGCTCCCTGACAAACAGACTGGTTCTGTGTCCAAGGGAAATGGATGTATATTCTAGGAGTGGATCATTAGCATGGCCCTAGTAGATAATTGATGTTATCTAGACTTCCATTGAAGCTTTGGATGCGTGGCGATATGCATGGTCGATTTTGCAGCTTCAAACGGTAGGGAAGGTCAAGGATCATGGTATTTATAGTAACGTACCCTTGATAGATGGCGACCGCACCGTGAGAGATCTCCCCAACACTGCCGCTTCCAATACTCAACGCCACAGTCGTATATGCCAACCTAGGGCAGCTTACAATGGAAATCACCAACATCCAACTAGGCACTGAGAGCCTCGAGGTCTGAGTCGACGTTGCCCCTGATCAAAGCCGGGGTTCGGATACAGCACAGGGCTATTCGAGCATAGCTGGAAGGCGTGTACGACGGGTTTGTGAGGGTTGGAGGAGGGGAACAAAAGCAGCCTTGTGTCTGTCCGCCTTCTTCATATTTCCTGTACTATCATTAGGCAAAAGAAGGACCTGTTGCATGCATGCACAAGGATGGTGCCACCCCAGTGGCGGCGTCCCGCGTTTGCCCCGCAGGCCCGGTCCTCCCTCCAAGCTTGGCACAGTCCAGACATATCTCCAGAACCCGGGCAGACTCCCAGCTCGCGTATCAAGGATGCAACCACCATCAGATAGGAATTCTCTATGTGGCCAATATTACTTGGCAGAGGCAGGTTTGTGTGTGATTTTGCGTGCCTTCCCCCGTCAGACCTGGACGGGATTAGTCATCCGAGGCTGGCCAAGCTCGGTGGCCACTTATATCCGCCGCCTTTAGTGCTGCTCCTGGAGCTCTGGGGATACCTTACAGGTAGCTCTAAGAAGCGTATTCTCTTCGAACTTGGCTGATAAGGCACAACACAATACAAGAATTGCTTTCTTCCTTCACGGCTAGGAGCTACCCCACCCCATTGAGCACCGACCAAGCGGAAGGAAAAGCATGTGAAACCCTGCATCCTGCTTGGTGGTTCAGCTCCCCATGTACCCACCTCTGTGCTGGCGGTAGGTACTTGGTAGTACCTACAGGCTACCGCCTTACAGCGTTGCCTAGCGTCCCGTTTATCTATCTAGGACGCAACGCGGGGCAGGCGCAGCTTCATCCCGAAAGTGTAAAAGAAGATCCGAGACCAGGCACCAACCACAAGACAACACCATCCTGTCTGGCGGTGCTGACCAACCCTTAAAGCTCACATTCGCTCCAGCTACGCCACCTCTTGACCCCCCCCGACGACAGTTGGTTCACCACAGCCCAGTGCAACCAGCGAAAGCAACAATGGCACCCGCCATCGAGGACCAGGGAACGCCTCAGGTGAACCCGCTGATCTCGACACAAGGAAGCTCCGAGCTCCAAGTCATTCTTCACCCGCTAGTTCTCCTCTCCATCTCCGATTACATCACGCGGCATACCCTCCGCAAGCAGGATGGCCCTTTGATCGGTGCTCTGCTGGGCCAGCAGAATGGTCGAGAGATCACCATCGAGCACGCCTTCGACGTTCACACCCAACCAGGCGACCAAGCTTCCGGAGGATATTCTATCCACCTGGACGGCTTCCAAAAAAGATATGAACAAAGTAATGACGATGGCCCCCGCCTCGCATCTTTCCCTTGGACACTCATGCTGACGCTCTCGACTAGTGAAGAAGGTCCACCAGGACCGCCAACTCGACTTTGTCGGCTGGTACACCCTCCTACCGCTATCTGGCCCCTCGCCCTCCATACTCGACCTCCATCGTATCTTTCTGAGCGAATACAACGAGTCTGCCATTCTCCTGGCATTCCACCCCGACCAGGTACTCAGCCACTCCGCGGGCGGCACGCTGCCGCTCACCATCTACGAGAGCAACTGGGAGGTCGAGGGAAGCGGCAAGGCCGCCCCCGACAGCACCGAGGATAAAAACATGGACGATGCAGAGGTCGCCGCCCAGATCAGGTTCAGGGAGCTTCACTACTCCGTGGAGACGGACGAGACCGAGATGATCAGCATGAACTACGTCGCTGGCGGCGGCGGTAGTGCCGCCGTCAACACGCCAAAGGAGGAGAAGCCGTCACGCTCCATCGAGACGAACAGCAAGGGGAAGCGCCGGATCGTGGAGAACGAGGCCGAGGAGGAGAAGTCCGGGGACGAGGCCCTGACGCGGGAGGAGGAGGAGATCATCGCCGCGCTCACCGCCAAGGCCAACGCCATCAAGATGCTCCAGTCCAGAATCCAGCTCATCGGGTCCTATCTCGCAAAACTGCCGCCGTCCTTTGTAAACGGGGAGCCATCGGATGATGATAGCATGGATGTGGACAGCACCGTTCCCTCTCTACCAGTCTTGCGTCAGATCCAGGCCCTCATCTCGCGGCTCGATTTGATCATCCCCTCGGACAAGGAGTCATTCGAACAGGAATTCATCCAGCAAGTCAACGACGTAAATCTGACCGAACTCCTCAACAACATCATGCAGAGCACCACCCAGGCCAGAGAGGTCGGGAAGAAGTTTGGCGTCGTGGAGCATGCGAAGCCGCCCAACAGACGGGGAGATTTTGAAGCCCAGGCCGGGCCGTTCAGCGTCTTAAACAGTGCTGGAGACATCATCATATAAAAAAGGAAACTTATGAATGCACTATTAGGTTGCTTTAACTTTTTACATGAGCTTGGCGTTTTAGGAATTCAAGTAGACACGCATGTTTATGGAACTAGGAATGTAATGACCTTCCCTCTCTATGCCTACCAACCCGACTTCTAACACGGGCCGTCATGCGTATTGAATAACATGAAACAATCTGTTCTATTCGCGAGTACATACAACAATGTCGGCAATTTTTTACCTTTCTACTACCATCAAACTAAGAAATCCAGAAATCATTATTCGACGAACTAGCCACAAGCCTCTACCAAATGCCCAGAGACCCTGATGCTCATCCCCATCCATCAGCAAGGAGGTCCCATTCAGCCCATTAACCCATTAGCAAAAAGATTATGTCAGCTGAGCAGTCTTCTCTTATTAAGGCTCGATCACAACCTTGATAACCAGCTTCCCATCATCATCTGAAGTCCTGCTCGCCAACTCGAATGCTTTACTGGCTTCGCTCAGCCCCTTGAAGCGGTGTGTGACCATGTCACCGAGGTTCGGCAGAGTCCACCCGAGCCCTTTCTTATTCGACGAGCAAAGAAGACGGATCCCTGTTGCGTATGTATTGGCATATCGGAACACGCCGACGATATCGATCTCCCGAAGGTGGGCAACGGAAAGGGGCAGCGTCTGGACTGGGGTGCCCATGCCGACCATGACAACCTTGCCCCCAGCCTTGGTGGCATATAGACTCGTGTGCATGCATACTTCCTTGCCGGTACACTCAAATGAGACGTCAAATCCATCCTCGTCTTCTTCCAATGTGAACCCATTGCCGGCATTAGATTCGTTCAGGATCTCTGCAGCAATCGCCTTGGCCTGGTCAAATGGGCTCGAAGATGTGAATGAGCTCGCGGGCGTCATGATACCATCAGGAGTCGAGATACCTGAGCTTCCACGAGAGCCATTGATGTTTCTGGGTACAACATGTCCAGAGGTTGCAAACCCTTTTGAAACAGCATAGTTGACTCTACCAGGGTCAATGTCCGTGATTGTCACAGAAGTGCAGCCCGCATGCCTTGCCATGGCAGCAGTTAAAAGACCAACAGTTCCGGCCCCTATGACAAAGGCCGTGGAGCCAGGTGTAATGTTGGCACGATTAACTGCGTGTATGGCAACTGAGAGTGGCTCCAAAAGAGCTGCTGCATCATATGACACATGGTCAGGGAGCCTATAAGCCGTCAGAACACGCTTTTCAAATAAACTCATCTGGTACTCAGTACTTGTGGCACCAATCTGCTGGATGATTTATCCTCTCCTGAAGAGTCCCCTGGTAATGAGGGAATGTCTTCGCGCTGCTTCTAAACCTCAGCTTTTTGCAGAGATTATATCTCCCCTTCCTGCAAAGCGCGCAGGTATTGCATGCAACTCCTACTTCAAGAGCGACTCGGTCGCCAATCTCAAAGCCTCGTACCTGGGGTCCAATGGCAACCACTTCGCCAGTGGACTCATGGCCCAGGGACAAGGGCTCACAAGCACACAAGTCGCCGTTGGCAAATTTTTTATAATAAGAAACATCGGAGCCACAGATACCTGTTGTTTTAACGGCAATTTGCAATTCCCCGGGTCCGGGATCTTCAAGCCGTCTGACTTCCTAATAATAAGAATGATATACGTCAGCTCTAAATTTCCCTTAGAAATCCGGCGTACAAATGTTCAATTCGACCCCTGGAGTCGAGGTAGCCGTCGGGAATGAAAAGGATTTTTCTAACCAATCTGAGGTCTCGAGGGCCATGTAGAACAGAAGCCAAAATAGAGGGTGGCTTTGGCCCATCAACGGATGGGATCACTCGCGAGTCAACACCCAAGGCTCCAGGCGCCATGGCCAATGTTGTGAGAAAGTATATCTACAACTTGAGTGAAGGACTGATGACAGGAAGGAAGATGATATTCACGACTTGTTTTTCTTATGAAAATATCCGTAAATTAAATCGATCAGCAATAAGATGCGAGAGCCTTTGGAAGTATATCAACCAGTAACCCAAACACTTAATTGCCTCAGTGTTAGATTCTGAGCAACGTTGAAGAATGGCCAATGATGACTGGAGGTTAAGGTGAAGAAGATGAGGGCATGTCTAGCCCAGATAACTGGCGAAGGAAGAGCACTCACATGCAGAACCACCGCCACCGTTAAGTAGGCGAACGACGGGGCTGCGGGGGATCAGGCCAAGTTTCCTTGTCTCTCCAACAACTCTCTTCCGGGGCCAGGTATTACGCAACCTCCATCATTAGCACACGATGATCTACCCAGTCACAATTGAATCACTTATCCGGGTCAAGCCCGGTGTATAAAGTGTTACATGCTTGACGAAATCAATGCCTGTACTTGACAGACTGGCTGGGGTCTCGCAGAGTGGTCTCCTACCACGATTCATTGCCGGAAGCGGTGACTGAACAAGGGGTGTGGAGGTCTGATTGAACAGATGCAAGGACAGGGGTTGTAAGTGACGGTTTCGCAATGTGATTGATCAGGGCATGCTGTCCTCATTCAGAACCCAATTTGAACTCCCGCGCTGCCGACTCAATTACATACGAAAACGACGGCTCGTGGCTATCTCACGGAGGTGGAGCCATGCAGTTCAAGATGGGTTGCAGCACCCTGAGAATGGTGGGTAGTGTCCACGGAACTGCCCAGCCAACATGAGTCGTCGACATGAATTGCACGGGAAAAATTGTCTTTTCGGGACTGCCTGCCCATATCTGGGTCGCATATAGGGCTCCCAGGTTACTCAGCCCAGTGCTAGCGAAATCATTCTCCTGTTTGCTCTAATGATAGCGAGCAATGTCGGAATAGTCGGCCAAGATGGTGGGATCGAAACCTCGGTCCGTTTGAGCTTGATCCTTTGTCCTCTCCGACGACGGGTCAACGACCAAGAGCATGATGCTTCCGAGAGCCAGTGCGCTAAGCCAAGAAGGAGTTGCGCATCATTCAAATACATTGGGAATCCTATCGCTGAAACGGCCTGGACATATTAGCACGGCAGCAGTGACGGCTAAGCAAGGATTAACATGGCAAAGGGATATGAACAAGGCTAGGCGGTTCCACATTGATTCCAATAGACGGATGCGAAGTGATATTATCCGTGTGGATAAATGTACCAGTCATGACTCTGCCCTGTCGTAGAACTCGGCTCAGATGCCAACCAAGTACCAAACATGAAGATTCGGCATTCGTCACATTGCTGCGGAAAGGCGAGCAGACATCAGTCGACTTGGGCATTAATTTGGATGCAGCAGAACAGGGAGGCAGGGACAACAAGCGTCGAGTCCGTGATGGCGTGGTCGCGGTCGAGACCACCAAGAGCATGATCGAAGGGCCGGCACTCTGCAAATCCATCAAGGTCATCACAGAAGACAAGCACAATGGTGGGAGGTACCTGCCAGAGAGCCATTGGGTACCTGCCAGCCTAGCACGCAGCGCCGGCAGCACGAGGAAAGAGCCACGGGCCTCGAGATTGCCGGAAAAGTAGAGGAAGGCCCGAGGAAAGTTTCGGAAGGAAGACCGCATGTCAAGCAGCGGCGCAGATGCAGGGTGACCAGCATGATGAAGGGGCATGCAGCGGACAGGCGACTGGGTCTTCCCACTGGCTCCTCCTCCCCTGCTCTGGTCCCTCCTTGCTCCGGCGGTTCCCAAAATCTCAACTCTCTCGCGCTTTCAAGTGTGGGCGTGGCAGAAGGAGGCGCATACGGTGTCGGCATATACGCACTCTAAAATGGTTGCTTCCGATCTGTCGCCATCTTTTGCCAGGGATTTTTTTCGAGGCACCCCCTTTCGTCCCAAGATGCAACCGCTGGTCGACCATCGGACGGATATCTGTCGATGGTTGCCAGCAGGGATCTCTCAATCTTCGCTCTGATAGGGCACGGAGCAAAGCCGCCACCACCACCATCACGATGTCTTCACCCTTCTCCAAGGCCAGCGGCTCCCCGCAAACTGACCCCAAGGTAGCTTTTGTTGCCATTACGGCTCAGGTGGCGTGCGGCCGCTCGGAGCTCCTCCAGCTATCTGATAGGCTTCACCCTGGCCACCCAGGTCTTTAGATGCTGTCGTCAGCATATTGCCGTTGCATACTGGGTATCTCATTTCACGATACCCCGGGTGCCACCACCCGCGCCTATCAATATCGCTGAAGTGGTTGCACAAGAGACCCGCTCATTGTTTGCCCATTCAGTCTATCCCCATTGCCTCCTTGCTCATCATTGACACAAGTGTTCGTGCTGGAAATGATCAACATCATCTACCATCATATGGTCTTATCATTCTTGTCCGAGTGGTGATTCCGCACCTCTGCGACATCCAGTTGACATCATAAGGGAAAACGACACCCGGTGACTTTGCCTACCTTTCAAATTGCCCGTTTGTTACCGGTGTCCTTAATATTAGAGTAACAGAATCCAAAAGCAGCACGGTCGCTGATATTGTCTCCGATGTCATCCGTCTCTATCCCTACAGCAGCTCCGGGCATGGGTTCTTGGTATTATAGCCAAGCTTCGCCTGATGCTACTCTCATTTAGCTAGCCCTGCCCATTCTATCGGAGGGGTCATACGTTGAGCGCGGCAAACCCTTTCGATCATTGGCCTGCTACTCCTCGCCTATCATCTTGACACATATGAAGTATATGTATAGGGATATCGGGGATCTTCGCCGTCTAGCCAATGAGCCTGCTGCTTGCTTTCCATTGTCTGGGAGCGCTACTGAACCGACTGCAACCTGCAATATTAGATGACCGAGCCCAGCCTATGCGGTGTATGTGTTACACCACGCTGGCCCTATGGCCGCTAGAAGACAATCTTACCCGTTTGGCCTGGGCTCGCCTCTTTAAAAGCATGACTGTTGTGACGCAGGCCATACCCTGCAGCACCAATGATTAACATAAGAGTGACTGGGCTCGTCACCCCAGGGTTTCTCCCAGGACCACGTGCTTGAGAGTCTGTAACCTTCCCGTCTGCCCGTGGGGTGGCCCTGCAGATTGTTGGGGGTTACTGCTTCGGGTAGGTAATATGTAGCAAGATTGTGGTCGATCCGTTCTTAGGGATATTGCAGCATCTTTTCACCTGAGATAGATGGAATGCCCATCTACTTTCACGTAGTGCTCTCCAATTTTGCGTCATGATTACTCGTGCAACCGATTTATCTTGGCTAGATGCTACCCTTGAGCAGTGGCATCGTACATTCGTCCATGAAAACAAGCCTCGATCTTGAAGGGACCCCCCGATTCCTCACAGCCATACTGAGCAAGGCATTGTGATCACGATTCATTCTATTAGAACCCTGCCTTCACATTTACTCTGTCTTCCTATCATCACATTCCAGGTCGATAGACGGTGTGGGATCCGTGCTACCACTCTGAACACATGCTGCATCTCTAGGTTAGTCTTCGTTGATATGAACACGAATAAACTCATCGTTCTTCTCTCCGACCCCCGGCTGTCTTGGCAGAGAATGCCCAACTATCCAAGGCACCCAGCTGGAGGAGTAGATAAGGCGCGCATTGGTATAAATAAGAGGTGCCTCGGCTCTCCTCATTCACCCCGCCGTCATCTAGGTTGTTTCAGTTCGTCGACTCTATTTCGTGATAGCGTATGTGACAATCTTGGAGATGTCAGTCAAGAGCCCGGATATCGAAGGACGATTCAAGATAGACGAATGGCCCTATCAGCTTTGAGTCGGGAGAATTCTCGTCTGATAGTCCCGCTTCGATTAAATTAGTTGACCTATCCGGGCACAAAGAAACAGGAGGTGGCTCGGCTCCAACTCCGCATGCAACCTTCTCCAAAACACCCTGGGCTATATCTCGGAAAACCCAAATAGTATAAGCCATATCAATACACAATTTATCAGTCAAGTGCGACTTAGCCATCACTGCATGTGACAGACAAGCCCTGCTCGCTGGTTATCCTCTTCGTCTAGCTTGAAGCCCTACCAAATCGGCTCGATCCATCCGGGCCGATGGTGTACACATCCATCTCCTTGTAGGCATCCACCACCACCACCAGCAGCTCGCATAAATCACCGTTCCCTTGCTGGCCAATTTCCGAAGGAGATATGTACGATAGCTGCGAATGGGGTGTGGGATGGCAAGTGAGGGGAGGGGAGAGAAGGCAAGAAACACGAGCAGGTTTCTCACATGCAGATGCGAAGGGAAAGCACATGCATTTTTTTCTGAAACTGGGTCACGGATTACTGAACTTGGGTAGCCTACGTGGCGGGACGCCCGTTTGCCTTTGCACCTCTCCATGGGGGGATAGCGTAGCAATCATCTCGCCATCTCAGTCCCGTTCGCTTCCAATGAAGAGGTCGGTTCGAGCATGTGCGAGGGGCGGCCTCGCGGTAGATGATACCGAAGCCCGCAGGCGTGGAGGTCATGGCGAGAGACGAGTGGAAACAACACGGGAAGGGGCATTTGAAGGCGAAAACGGGACACTTTATGCTGAATTTCATCTCTCTCATACCTAATACAACTGATGTGACTTGGCGGGTGGGCTACCAGGTTTCTGCTTGCTTTCTTTCATAAAGGTCAGGATTTTTGCGGGGTGGGAAATAATAAACTCGAGGGGACAAAATAAGAAAATTCACAATCACCGCCGTTCCTCCGCTTGAATGTAGCACGCTACAAGGATTTTACTCAGAACGTGCTTGTCGCTAGGCGGCTTGCAGCATTCCTGGCATCCACACGATCTTCGTCATCCTCATCCTTGACACCAGATCGGCCGCTGGAGCCCAGTCGGCCGGTGCTTGTCTCTGCGCCCTCACCGGTCTGCCCTTCCTCGGGGACCTGGCCGATGAAGCTGCTCGACACGCTGCGGTTGGCAGCGTCGGTCCGCCGAGGGACACCACTCCATGCATCCCCTTTAGGGCCCTGGCTTGCTGCAAGACTGGAGCGGCGGACGGTGGGGTGAGACTCACGGCCCAGGCGACTCAGGCCTCCAGAAGCGTCAATGGATCGGATGTCGGGTCGAACCGTCTCAAGCAAGGCCAGGGTGCGTCTCTCGGCTTCAATCTCCCGAAGCACATACTCTCTGATGCTGAGGCGCAGGTCCGAGGCAGTCCTTGCGAACCATTTCCGTTTCTCTTGTACCAGGGTTTGCGTGACAATGGTAGTCTTGTTGTACATGTAGGTCTCATGCGACCTCGCTTCGTCGAGAGCAGAGATGGCCTCATCCACCTTCTCGCGGCGCACGCTGGAGCTCGCCTTAAGGCGGTCAGCGGCATTCAGCTTGTTTCTCGTCGTCTCCTGTGCCTGGATGAACTCCCGAATCAGAATCTGGCGGTTAGTCAGGGATTCCTTGACAATGAAGGCATCCTGCGAGTGGTACTGGAAAGGGTCGCCAATTGTGGTTGCCTCAGCCGTTGCTTGGGCAGCATGGTAATCTCCAACTGTTTGTACCACCTTTCCAAGCTTTCTGTAGGCATTGGCAAGCCCCGGGTGAGGCTCTTGAACATTCATATTCCCAAGCTTAATTCCGTAATCAGATTCGGAGAGTCCAAGTCCTGTGAATCTCGTTAGCAATTTGGGACTTGAGACGGGCCCCAGGCCTTAGTTAGAAGGCTGCGCTTACCTCTCCGGGCCTTGACAAGTTTGTCAACTTTGTGGCCAGCATCCATAGAACCAAGGTAAAAGAGCTTCACAGCCGGTCGAGCTTCCGCGAGCTCAGGGGTATCATCAGGCGGGGGCGCGAACTGCTTCAAGATCTTCCGTCGAACGCCCGTTGCAGGCTGCTTCATCTTAACCAGGGGACTGTACCCGAAGTCGCTCTCGACGAAGAGCACCATTTCATCATCCTTCATCAATGCCTCGTTGCCGCAAACATAGTTGAACCATCTCTGCATCAAAGCCTTGACACGGTTCTCATCCTCGTCCGTGCCTGCCCCTGCGGACGTGACGGCTGGTGGGACTGCCGGGACAAATGACTCCGGGCAGGAAGATATCAAGTGATCGGCGAGCTTGACGAACTCGGAGTGGAGACGCCGAACATCTCGATACTGCGTAGTGCGGAATCTTGGCAGGTTTGTCTGGGATATTCAATGTCAGTAAACGTCCACATGCCCAGGCGCGCACGCCGAGCAGGAGCATCAGGCCACTCACGTATACATCGAAACGTAACACAGGGTCCTTCTTCCCGGTCCGCTCAAGACCAGTGATCTTCGCTTGTAGTCGGTGCTGTGGCTGCGCTGGCTTTTGAGGTTGCTGGGTCTGGCCATCTTGCGCAGGCTGGGCGCCCTGCGTCGCGGGTTGCTGGGTGATGTTGCTACCGGCACCTCCGGCCGGTGGCGGGGCATTCTGGAGAGGTTCGCGCTGTGTCTGGGCAGGAGCGGCATCCTGAGAGGTTACAGGAGCTTCCAAACTGTCGGGCTCTGCTTCTGTCTCGGATGCGGTGGTTGCGGTTCCCGGCCGTTGGAAGCCTTCGGGGGCTGAGGGATCTTGAGACAGCCCAGCGCTAGAGGATTGGGGGAAGAATGGCGAGGAGACATCGCCGGCGAGAGGCCCAAAGCCAGAGGCGTCCTTGCCAGGCGACGTCGGCGGAGGGGGGCCCCAAGGCGAGGCCGCAGGGTCGTCCGTCTCGTGGATTGATGAGCTGTAGTCCATGGCGATGACGGGGTCGGAGATGGCTAGGCGGAGCTTGCGATGCTCGAACTACCAGAAGAACAGTCTTCGGAGGGAAGCGGGGGAGGGTAGAAGGGAAATTGGCGAGTGGGCGCGAAACCGAGTGTCGCGCATTCGACGGACAGCTCGTGGGTTGGATCCAAAACTGACGTCGACAGTATTACTCGATTGGCATCGTCCTGACTGGCCACCAATTGCTGCGAACCTCTGACAGAAGCTGGCGGCGGTGGCGGGTGACCGTTTCGGCTTAGCAGGCCGCTGCTCCTGCCTAGTAGTCGGCTCAGTGGGGCCAGAGGCTTGGCTCACTGTTGTAGAATCCTACTGCCTAACAGTGCGTCGCAATATCTATCCTCGAATAAGTCATCTAAGAACAATAGTTTAGTTTACTTTTTGTTATTGCTTCAGCAAAAATATAAGTAATTATTCAAATCATATTTCACGAAGGACTTCGGATTACTAGAGCAAGAGGCGGTCACCCAATCTTCACACTCCAGAGTCCTACTCCAAGTTGAATCAGGTATACCTAAGTAAGAGTTGCTGCTTGACGTTACCACACCAGCCAAGAATGTAACCCAAATTCTACATAAAATAACCCGTTCGCAGGTTCATATCCTCCCGCTAACAGCAAGGCAATGAGAAATGACAATATCGAGAACTACTCTAATAATGACGTCGCTGCCGATGTAGGCAGAAGTTCAAACAGAGACGGAGATGGCAAGAAGCTCCATTGAGCTTCTCCACTTCAGGCACTTCATTGGCTACAGCCACCTCAAGGCCTTATCGCACATTAAGGCTGCGGCTTATCGGTCCAGTTCCAGTTAGTGCGGGGCACCAAATTTTCTAAGTACAGCTGCCATCGACGTAGCGACCTCAAGAGCTTCGGCCTTGAAATTTGAATAAACATTCCCACCACGTCAGCCTGTGTGTGATTAAACATCAACTTGACCAGTCAAACTAGCCCTTTTTCAGTACTTACAGTTTCCTCTTTCCCGATCCTCCTTCTCAAAGACACACAATGGGCAAGAAGAGATCAAGAGACGCAGAGGCCAAGGATGTCCCTGAGGACCCTGCAGTGGACAAGATGGACGAGGATAGCGATAATGATGATGAGGTAGGATACAACGTTCAGCTGGCGTTCTAAGGACTGCGCTGACGCTACGGGCTCCTTAAAGGATTTTGACATGGTCAATGTTGACTTTGAATGGTTCAACTTCGACCCTGAAGTTGACTTTCACGGCACCAAGTCACTTCTTAGACAACTCTTTGATGTTGATGGCAACCTATTCAACATGTCAGCTCTAGCAGACCTTGTGTTGTCGCAACCAACAATTGGGTCGACTGTCAAAGTAGACGGCAAAGCAACCGATGCCTACGCTCTGATGACGGTGCTTAACATTGCCGAGCACCGCAACAAAGAGCCCATGAAGGAGATTTCCCAGTACATTGTAGAGAAGGCGAAATCGAACCCCTCATTGGCTGCTATTCCTGCCTTGGTTGAGGGCGGTAAGCAAGTTGGACTGGTCATGTCCGAACGTCTTATCAACGTACCATCGGAGATTGCCCCTCCCTTATACACAATGTTGATGGAGGAGGTGGAAGCTGCAGTAGAGGACAAGGAACCCTATGAGTTCTCACACTATCTCATCATCTCGAAAACATATCGAGAAATAGAGTCAACTCTAGATGTTCAGGACAGGAAACGGAAGAAGGCAAAGGAAGAGGCAACAGTCTTCTATTTCCACCCAGAGGATGAGGTACTACAGAAGCATTCCGTTGCTTACGGCAGCTTCAACTACACCAAGGAGGAGGATTCCGTGGCAGACAGCAAGCGAGCGTTCCAAGAGATGGGCATCAAGACTTTCGGACACATGATGTTGGTCGAGGCAGGCAAGATGCCCGCGGCTATCGCAGCAGTTCAAAAATACCTGAATCCAGGCCAATAATATACAGACAGAGCATCTAATTCTCAGGCTCCAGCCTCTGCATCAAGTACTCAACCTCCACCTCTTTTGTCAGTGGGATAACAAAGTCTCTGTACATGGACACCACGGCGTCCACGTTGATCTTACCGGAGGCCTTGGTGCCCTCCGGCTGGAAGGGATCGGTGCCGTATGTCTGAGCCTTTAATCGGAGGCGATCCAAGACGATCTTCTCCACCGCGGGTTTCGTGATGGCATCGGCGATGCCCTCCCTGTCCTCGGCCTTGATGAGGCGGGTGAACCTCTCCTCCTCGGATCTGAACTTGGATTCGGCGACCAGCTTTCCAAAGTGGATTCTGCGTGAGAGGGCCTGCAGGCAGGCGATATCGCATGTAGCAGTAGATCCGTAGTTCTCCTCCGACTCACCCCGGTCCTCTCTGCCGAAGTCCGGGCAGACAGCCGGGAGGAAATTCTCAACATAGAACTTTTTGATCTTTTCGTTTACAGATACATTGTTCTTCCACAAGATCTTGGGATAGTTGAGGGGCTTTAACAGGGGCTTCTGGATGGCATCGGGGAAGAAGGGATGCTCATCCGGAGACTCGAAGCGACGGATAAGGGATTGCAGCCTCTCCTGCTCGCGGAAGTACCAATCGAGGAAACTCAGTTCGCTATTGGGGATATCTATTGCGCCAGGGATGTAAATGTTCTTTACGATGATTGGTGGGTCGTATCAGTAAAATATGCCCGTTGAGTTGAGAGAGTGTGTGGATATGCTGGCGAGGGGAGAGTGGAGGGGTGTAAATGCAATTCTCACCTTGTTGAGGGCAAACTGCACCCGTTCAATTAGATGGAAGGTAATGGTATCCTCGAGGCGGCTAGACCTAGTTAGCCGGTATGACAGATGTGTGCCATCATCAAATGGCGATAGGTTGGGAGCGCAACGCACATGAGTTGGAAGCGGATTCTAGAGAGTTCCAAGGCCTTGGAGGCATCGGCCAAATCGACTGTGGAATCCATGGCAAGAAGAAATTGGAAGTAAGAACTCATCAACACTCCGGATATCAATTCTACGAATTCATAGGCTGGGAAGAGCCGGGATTCGAGGGCAATTGGGACACGTAGATAAAATGAATCGGCTGCCGTTGGGCGTGCGAGAAGCAGTACGTGAGAATTTAACGCCGGTTGCCGGAGCTGTAGCCAGATGAGGGGCTGCAATGGAGGCTCTCAGCGGTGGTACAACCTCCACCAGCGGCTGGCCTAACCCAACGGGGAGAGCACCCAGCCCATCGCCGAGATGGACGCTACAGCAGACAACCTACAGCCGGGCGCAAAATGGGCAACGTGATGTAAGTTGTTCGATACCTTTGTGGTGGGGAGCAGCTTCGTTTATTGTATGTTTTGGGTAACAGTCGGAGCTTTTGCCTGTGTGTGTGTGTGTGTGTGTGTGTTTAGATGCTTGTTTGGGGCAACGTCAATAAGAGAAAATACTACCTATGTAAGCAGCTGGGGTCCCAGAAGCTCTGTGGTTTAGAGGGTGTGCTTTAGTCGGTGAGGAAAACTCAGTCGCTGGCCTGGTTAATACGGGGAATGCACAATCAGGTGTTCCATGTGCTGGGTTACGTCGCATTGCCAGAAAGGGTTTGCATGACTGTTAATCAAGCAGCTTGATTACACAGTTCGTCCTCTGCTCGCGTGCTGATGATGATGGTCGCATGGACGCAGCCCTGGAGATCAAACTGGTCCATGCTTACTTATCACCTGCCTGGAACACAGCGCATGATTCCCTACAGGGAGCCGCTAGCAGGCCACTAAGCCGGTCCCGGGCCTCTAGAGCCTGGCCTGTAGTTTGTCGAGCCCCCTGCACCGCATCCCAATGCACCGAGAACCTGAAACCTGCCCACAGCCTGGGTCACCACCCCGAAAACAGCAAGCGACTGAATTGCAACCAAATTCTGATAGTGTCGCGCGTCATTGGTGCATTGCCGCGGCCAGACACATCAAGTCCCGAGAAACCCTTGTGCTCGAACTCTGTTGGGTTTTTCTCCAGGACAACATCACCTCCACGGATTCGTCGCGAGAAGAGCCACAACCTCGGCCGCACCCAATTCCACTCTCTACCGGGGCTCAATCTTCCAGCCGGTAGCCATGGCTGACTCTGAGGGCCAGTACGGCTTCCCAGACGACGGCGCAGATGATGACCAGTCCATTATCTCGGTATGTTCGAAAGCCGCCAGCTGCACGCCGGCCCGGCACGAAGACCCCAAAGATTCTGGCTGATTGATGCTGACCATGATCGCCATGCCCGGTACAGACCCGCGGTCTAGAGGCCTTCAGTCGCAAGGTCACCACTACTGCGAGCCACTTGATGGGCCCCCAATCCACCGATCCTACTGCAAACCCGTACCATAGCGCAATGTCAGAAGTACACAAGCAGCTCAAGCGACCGGGCATCCAGCGCAGTGTCTTCTCCGTCGCTCGCACAACGCCTACCGATTTGGTGCGCTCCAAGCTATCAACCACCGAGATCCAGCACCGAGCCCTGACCTACCTCCCTGACGAGCTTCTAACAAACATCCCGGACCACCAAAACTCATACTCCCTGTTCCAGGGCTTCAAAGCCACATTCCCCGAGCTGACGGACGAGGGCAAGAAGCATCGGCGCCGGGCTTCTAGGGGAAGAAAACTGATGCTGGAAGATGCTCAGTCCGCCCCGGGAAGCATAAAACGGCTGCAACAGCTGAAAAAGGACAAGGCCGCCATGCTGCACGAGTTCCAGCTTTTCGGTATCCGGAAAAGTATGGCTAGCAGCGAGATTCGGGAAATCGATAACAAAATCGCCAATCTCCACGGGATGAGAAGAATTATACTGGACAGGTTAGCTTCGCTGGAGCAGGAGGAGGCTTTGCTAGAGCACGAGAGTAAGTACCGGCACTTTTAGACCCACGTTATGCAAGACATTATGCTCACTGGCCTCGTAGTCGTTGAAATCGAAGGCCGACTTGAGGAAGCGCAAGTTTTGGCTGACGAGGAGGAGGAGATCGCTCGAAACATGGCTACTCAGGATGAAAAAGACTTGGTGATAGATGCCGAGGACCACGAATTCATGTCGCAATCAGTCTACGAAAAGATACCAGGATCATCGGACAACGGACCCCGCAAAGCGAAGAAGGTGCACCGCAAAATATCAATGCCTATTCTTCACGAGCACTTTGAAGCAGGATCAAACATTCGCGAAATTCGGGCACACCAGGACAGCATCACCGCCCTTGACTTCGATGCCCCCTTTGGAACTATGGCAACAGCAGCATTGGACGACACAGTACGGGTGTGGGATCTGAATGCCGGCAGGTGTATGGGTCATTTACAAGGTCATACGGCTTCGGTACGGGCACTGCAAATTGAGGATAATATCCTAGCGACAGGTTCGATGGATGCCACAATCAAGCTCTGGGACCTGAGCCGAAGCAGATACGATCCCCATGGAGGCCTTGGCAAGGACGACGCAGAAGAGGATGCCATCGCATGGGAAAACCCCGACGATCAACCCGTAGATCCCCCCGAGGGAAGCATGGATAATTGTGAACTTTACACCTTGAGGGCACATGTGGACGAGATCACGGCGCTTCACTTTAGAGGCGACGTCATGGTTTCCGGCTCAGCAGACAAGACGATTCGACATTGGGATCTGGAGAAGGGCCGGTGCGTGCAGACCCTTGACGTGATGTGGGCTGCCGCCCAGGCTTCAGCGACCATTGGGAGCGGAGACAATACATGGAGACCGACTGGACGCTCATCAACAAGGTCGGCGGATTTCGTTGGAGCTCTCCAGGTCTTCGAGACGGCTCTGGCCTGCGGTACAGCAGATGGCATGGTTCGGCTCTGGGATCTTCGAAGCGGTCAAGTGCATCGAAGTCTGGTTGGACACACAGCCGCCGTAACCTGCCTACAATTCGACGATGTTCACCTCGTAACAGGCAGCTTGGACAGGAGTATTCGAGTAAGTTAGCCCCTTTATTACATGTGAAGCTCATTCCCCCCCTTTATATTACTACTGACGCCTTCTTCACTTATAGATCTGGGATCTGCGGACAGGATCGATCTACGATGCCTACGCTTATGATAACCCAATTACGGACATGATGTTTGATACCCGACGGATCGTCAGCGCTGCCGGCGAGGATGTTGTAAAGGTGTACGATAAGGTAGAGGGCAGGCAGTGGGACTGCGGCGCTGGCATCACCGCAGCAGAGGAAGGCAAACAACCTTCGATTGTCGAGCGGGTACGCGTAAAGGACGGCTATCTGGTGGAAGGTCGCCAGGACGGCATTGTCGGTGTTTGGACGTCTTGATGTGTGTATGTGTATACGTATGTAATGTGTAAAACTTCCGCTCATGAGCGTCACAATGTTATAGGCTCCAATCTTAGAGATGTTTCTCTCGTGCAGTGGAAAAAATATTAAATATGCAAAGTTGCACGAAATACAAGAAACCAGCAACTCAACTTGGTTCGTATGTCAAGATTTCGGTATCCTTTATACAAAGCAGCTCGGTAATGTACCTCTAGGGTAGCGACTTGACTGACCTGATCTCGATTGGCATCATTACAACCTCCAATGTTAGCCTCCTTCAACAGAATCACCTCCCTATTCGCAACAATTCAGAATATCCCTAATTATGTCTTGAGATGGCTTCTTTATGATGGAGTCCACCCAACAACGCCTATTGCTGAAATATTACCAGGCAGCAGCCCTGATCTCTGGCGATGGCCCAGCTGGCCAAGCGGCAGATGCCAGAGGCTATGACCTCGAAAGCGAGGCCGAACCCGCTGGTTTCGCAGAGGGTGAGGCGACTCGGCAATTATTAGAACGCCAAGCCAGACTTATCGCTCAAGCCCATATGACATTATTACAGTCCCAAGATGGCACAGTTTCAAATGACGCCGTCAATCTTGAGCTTGTCGCGAAGAGACTGGATGATGTCTCATCCATTGCCATGTCGAAGTTCTACTCTTACAGATATGACCAAGTTCCGGAGTTTTGGAGGCATATCTATACCGAGGCTTTGGTTCTGAAAACGCACCACCATTTGTTGGTCTCGGTTTCCGAGAGCTCGGTTGTCTCTGAGAAAACTTTTGATCTGATGGTTGAGATTCTCGATAGGGCTCTTATCACAACTGGAGGGCATGGAAAGTATTTAAACCCAAAATGGATCGAAGATGCCATATCATGCCTGGATCTTCTATGGAGGGAGGGCCAAAAGACAACCGAAGGGTATACCATGAAACAAACTGAAAATGAGCCCGGAAAGTCCGAGTTCCCTTTGACGGAACCATACGGCCGGCCAGTTCTGCGAAAGGAAAGGGAATGCCCGCGCCATCCAGGCTGGACGCTCGAGCAGTTCGAGAACTGTATCAACTCCGGGGACGATCCTCAACCCATGGTCTTCCCGAATCTGATATGCGACTGGCCAGCGCTGCAGGACTGCCCCTGGAAGAGCAGAGACTACCTCCTCTCCAAGACCCTAGGTGGCCGGCGTCTCGTCCCGGTAGAGGTAGGCCGCAGCTATGTGGACGACGGTTGGGGCCAGGAACTCATACCCTTCAGGGACTTCCTGAGCAAGTATATCGCCCCCCCTGAGGCAGAAACCGGGGAGGGGAATGCCCAACCAGTTGGGTATCTGGCCCAGCATGATCTCCTGCGTCAGATCCCCGCCCTTAGGAACGACCTCCTCGTACCGGACTTCTGCTGGTCGGATGCCCCCAAGCATCCCAGCGATCCGGCAATGGACCATCCCACGTTAGATACGCCGCAGCTCAATGCGTGGTTCGGGCCGGCAAAGACAATCACGCCGCTGCACACGGACGGCTATCACAATATCCTCTGCCAGGCTGTGGGGACTAAATATCTGCGGCTCTACCCACCGTCGGCCACGGCTGCCATGAGGCCGCGGCCACCGGAGCACGGGGTGAATATGAGCAACACGAGTGCGTTGGATGTTGGGGTCCTTGAAGGGTGGGATCCGCTTCCGGAGGGCATGGATGAGAGAATGTTGGAAGAGGTAAGAGAGGAACTGAGGGGTGTTGAGTATACAGAGTGCATTCTCGGGCCAGGGGACGCCCTATATATACCAATTGGATGGTGGCATTACGTCCGGAGTTTAAGTGTCAGTTTCAGTGTTAGCTTTTGGTGGAATTGATGTACCGGCTCTTGGTATATGGGGGTATATATATAGTCATTCTTAACTAGTAGTTTCCGGTAGTTGATCTGATAGTTTCTGTAAGTCATCTGAAGAAAAATGACAGGAAAGATATCAACTTGGAACTGCATCATCGACAGCATCACTGCCTCCTTGCGCCTCCCTCCTTGCTTTCGCGCCAGCCTTGAGGGTCTCCCACTTTTCACGGTATTTATCCAACGTCTTCTGCATCTTTTTGTTCTCCTTCTCGAGCTTCTCAATGTGCCTCTTCATCATTGAATACTCATCATCCGCCACCTTGGCCCGGCTGCTGCTGGCGTTGGAGAGGGGCGATCCGGGCCGCATCATGCGATAACTCTCAGCCATGTTCTGGGCGCTTGCCTCAAAAGCATGCAGTCGCTTGGTCAGCTTGTCGAGCATATCCTTGAGGGACTTGTTTTCTGTGTAGAGCTCTTCGATCGTGTTACTGAGTTCTTTGTCCGTGCGAGCCCGCCCGACGCGGCGCTTCGCACCGGGAGAGAGTGAAGTGGGAGTTTCTTTAGCGTCCACGAAATCATCATCCTCCTCGTCGCCTCCCCCAAGCGAGCCATGGCTTGACGCCTCCAGCCGGCGTTTCTCTTTCTCAGCATAGCTGAGGATGTTGGCATAAGAGATTGTGTGCCCGCTGGTGGGAACGACATAAAAGGAGTCGCTGGGCGCAACTCCATCCTTCAGTATCGCATTCATTGTTGCCTTTGAGATGACCTTGGTGAGGTCCGGCTCTACGCTCGTTACGTGAATTGGCCGGGCGCGAATGCTGGGCTTGCTTCGGGACGACTCTGGAGAGGACTGGGACTCCTCTGACAAGGTCGACTCTTCCTGGATCAAGGGCAGACTGGCAAATGCAAGCGGTGCGGAGATGCGATTGATGAGACTACCGAAAGTGTTGTAAAATCGGTTGTACCCAGCATCGTCGGACTGCGCAGAAGAAGCGTCTGCCGTGGAAGAAGCGACGTCTTTCCGCTTCTGGCGGGCCTTGTTATCGTTCTTCGATGGGCTTTGCGCTGTTGGCGGTATCCAGGTCGGCTTGCCCGGCTGATGCTCGATGAGTGTCTGCATGGTGCTCTTGGAGCCGTCACGTCGCGGATGAGGGTCGAGGTTGCCCGGGGCCTCGTCGTTGGAGACGCTGGGGGTAAGAGGTTGCGCTCTATATTTGGACCTGATCCCTCGAGCGGATGCCAGGTTGCTGGCGATGGACGACGACATCTCGCGGGCGGCAATGCGTCGGGGCTGCGGCAGGCCAGGTTTGGACGGAGACTTGGACCCCTGTGTTTCCGTAGAGGCTTCCTTCTGCGAGAGCGAATGCACGGCATTTCCGGTGTTTTGCTGGTGTGCCTTCTCGTTGCCCGCATCGGCATCGTCGCCGGTCGCATGTTGGGCAGGTTGATCAGGGATGTTGAGCAGCTCGGCCAGCCGCCTGTGGTGTTCCTCCAGCAGCTTCAGGGTCCGCAGCGCTTCGATGCTCGATGTGCTCCGGGCAGCAGTCGCAAACTCCCCAGCCGCTAGTGTGTGCTCGTTGATGGCGACGGTGGTGTCGGCTGAGTGCCTTGTTGTTGCGACCGCAGCGGCACGAGCATGGTCGTGGGCTTTTATGAGGGGGGACGGCTCCATGTTGCAGCTGCCGATTACAGGACGAAATGGTACCGATAACAAGGATCGGGTTCGAGGGAGACAATACAGAATATCTTCACGCCTGGCCTGTTTTAGTGCCCATCCATGCGAGGTTGGATGGAACTATCCTACGGGAGTGTGGAGGAGATGGTGAGTTCGATAGCTATCTTATCTGCAAACGGTGCTTCCTCTATAAAGTTTGGCGTTAGCTTTCCCCGGAGTACAGTTTGGCTGGTGGGGTGTGTGCACAAGTACTATCAACCGGAACTGGTAGGTACTAAAGTCGGCACTAACCAACGCCTTATGCACATCCCTGTACATAAGATCGAAGCACAGCACAGACAGCAGACGAGAAGGTTGAAGACATTCCATGATAATATCTACGCCAGGGAATATCTGTATGTGCCTGTCAGCAGGCACTCGCATGTAGTTAGGTAGCCCTCTACATCTATCCCCCAACTCATAGGAGGCTGGGTTGAAATTTTAAGCGGTGTAGGGTATGAGTTGGCGACTGGACAAATGTCATGAGATTATCAGTTAGGTACCTAGCTACGGCCTGCAGGTCCTACTGCCTTATGTAGTACTTAGTAGGTTGCCGAAAGCTCTATCCGATATAATAGGGGCCAGTACTAGATATCCCAACCAAGTGCTCTCACCGTTGATTTGTTTTGGGACTGATCGTGTAATATTACAGCAGCGACCAACTTGGAAGGATGGCCAATTCACTTGGTGGGGGTGGGGGGTTTCATGAGTTTGTCTCGATACATGCCTGCAGCCGTAGGCACCATCCATGTTGTTATTTTTAGGCTTCTAACCTGCCGCAGGGAAGGTAATTAGGTACTAGGTAAGTAGGTTAGGCAGTCAATCCATCCTCAACCCAAAAGTACGGACGGGTTACGTGCTCATTGAACGATCCGGATTCTAAATGTTTGGTAGGCTGAGATGCCGCTCGTCTTGAAGGGCTTGAGGGGCTGGAGTTGCACGAGTTTAGCCTCTGGTTTACAGGCGGTAGTCGGTGGAATAGCGTACGTACACCCCGATCCCTGTGGCTTTACCTGGGATTGACTTCTTCGTCCTAGCGTCCTTGCCGCTCTTGTTCTTGGTCGAGTCTGCTAGCTACCGAAATAGAAATGAATCATATCCTTGATACCATCAAAAAGAAGTGAATAAAGAAGACCAGCATAAAACGATGATTTACAGAAGCTAGGCAGGGAATTTAGGCTGTGAACGGTCGACGGGTCAGCGTCAAAGGTTCTCGATGAATAATAGCAAAATCTCTGGAGCGAGCACAAGTGTTCAGAGACGGGACCCAGGCTATAGTTACCTACCTAGTTACCTATGTGAGAGGCCATGGTCGCTTTCATTAGCACGTCGGTTGCGACTTGGGGAATCAGTATTTAAAGCGGCGCTGCTTGAGCAGGGCTATCACACACTGTCAGAGCCCGGTACGGTGGATGCCTGCTATGTATGTCCCACCCCGGTTAGGGAGGTGAAGCCAGTGTGTCCCAGGTGCGAAGTACGAACCGCCAGGACTGCTAGAAGGTGGCGGGCAGCGAGGCGGGTTCTCGAGAATACGGGCCACCTTTTAATGTTACCACCCATCCATGTCGTTTGTGATGGATGCTTCTCCACCAGTTCTCATCAGCCTTCGCACCAAGCTGGGTTTCTAACACCCTCACCCTGCATTTATCTTCTCGTGTGCTCTCTTTCTCTTCTCTCTCTCTTTTGTTTTAGCAAGAACTGGCACGCCCGACTACCAAAGTAGAGAGGACTAGTTTTCCTTTACTGAGACAGTGTTGACTATTCCCCGCTGTCCTGAGAAGGGCTCTTGTACGTCATTGACTTGGAGTCTCGCATTGTGTTCAAAGACTCTCCTCAAGGGCGTCGCATCTACTCGTTTGTTCATGCACTAGTCGCAAGCAAGCCGCGCTCCTCACCAGGATACGGGGAGATCGGCTGCGGCAATTGGAACTTGCGGAACTTGCCTGAGCTATCCCAGGTGCAATGGAACGCCAACTCACTCATACAAGCAGCAGGGAGGGCCTGAGCAAGCTGCTGCCAAAGGCGATATCAGAGAGGAGGCTGCGGCGGTCGAAAAAGAAAGGGGAAAGGGACCATGACCCAGACCGCACACAGGAGAGCGATGGGGCCTCAATAATGATTGACGACGACGACGACAGCAGGAGTATTGATGGACGCAGTTTCGGTTCATTTGAATCTGGGCCAGAGCCTGGCTCAACGACCGCCTCGTCATTAAAGGACAGCTCGGCAACTTCGCGAGCCAAGTCAAGGTCAGTACCTTATCTCACCTGCTTTTATACATTCCCACCCTTTTTTTGCCAGCCCACCAGCTGGGGTGAAACCTACATGTCTTGCCCTTCTCCCCGTCTGCCCGCCGCATAGACCACGTGCACAATTTATGGTCGACGGGGTTGCTGGCGCTGGCAAGCTCACAGCTTGAGCGTTGGGGTCTTCGATACCTATGTCACAGTGGCACCGCCGCACTACCTGTCAGTACAGTGTACATCGGCCTCCTCCCAAGTCCCAACCTGGACCAACATGCAACACCCCATCCATCCCCTTCCGCCAGCTCCAGCTCCGTCGCAAACCATCGTTCGTGTTCTATTGCTAGGGTTCTATTCAATTCCGTTCCTCAGATCTACACTCGCTCTCCCTTCAACTGTTTGCGATCCATTTTCCCTCTTTATCATTGCCCCTTGAAAGTTCTTTGGACTAGCAAAGCTGGGTCTCAGCCCGTGCTGCTGCTGCCCCCCATCTACGTCTCTAACACCAACGCTACAGATCCCCATCGCGGCCGGCAACGATCTCACCGCATCCCTCGTTAATCGGGTACCTGACGACATCATCACCCGTTGTTCAGGCTACGCATATCGAACCCCGGGCGCAGCCACTCTCACCGACCAAATCAGCTGATCCGCAAGCCTTGACACAGACGCAATCCGCACCTGTCGACGTGCCCGCAATAATCGAGCCTCCCGGTGTCTATCACCCTGCCACTCCTAATAACAAGCGATTGCCAGGTTCTAGCAGAGTCGCACACATATTCCCAACCCGACCTGAAGCGTCTTCCCCGACTATTGTCACCAGTCCACCGACTCCCGACTCTCCATCACACAAGAGGTCGACCTCGACCACCCCTATTAGTCCGAGTGCTGATGGCCCCAATTCTCCACGATCTGAGGCTCACAAGAGGAGCACATCGGCTTCTGCGGCAGTAGGACCCAGCAAGCTCTCCAGCATTGCGGCATCGCCTCTATCGCCAACGGCAGAAGACGGTGGACCTGACCCTGGTAGTGCTACTGGTACCGGTTTTTTCTCGTCCATGTTCTCGGCTGCCCAAAGCGCAGCGACGAATTTGAGCACAAACATACAGAATTCGGGACTCGGAATTGTTGGGAACAAACCGCGACCGGCTCCGGGAAAGCAGCAACAAATCCCGGAAACTCCAGATCTTTCCCGGCCAGATTCTCAACCGGCAACAATACTATCACCTAAAATGGATCAGAAAGATTCTACATTGCGAACGATTGGGACGGGTGATCTCAGCCTAAGCCAGCTCGGCATTGACGAAACGTCCAGCCCGATTGGCTCACCTTCCACGGCCAAGTTTGCTGATGCAGACACACGAGCTCGTTCTGAATCTGCGCCAGTAGATACCCAGCTGAGCGGCGAGGAAACGCTGAACGAAGAGCCCTCCAGTAGGCCACGGTCATTTAGTGAGGCACAGGATGGTGATAGCCCGATTGTGGCCGATTTTGACGACAAGGGCCTGGGTCGCAGTGCCAGCGTCCGAACAGCGAGCCAAGCATATCATAGAAGAGGGAACTCGAATGGGATAGGTGGCAGCACTGTAGCTCTCGGCGTGCCACCCGGAGGGAATGGCTTTTCTACTTCCAACTCGAATTTTAGCACACCCAAGCTCACTGGATTCGCGATTGCGAGCAAGAAGCGGAATCGCGATTTCCACGCGATATTCAAGAGCGTCCCCGATAACGATTACCTGATTGAAGATTACAGTTGCGCCTTACAGAGAGAGATCCTTGCTCACGGTCGTCTCTACGTCTCAGAGGGCCACCTCTGCTTCAGCAGTAACATTCTTGGCTGGACAACCACTTTGGTTATGAGCTTTGACGAAATTGTATCCATGGAGAAGAGAAGTACGGCCCTCCTTTTCAAAAATGGTCTCATGATTTCTACATTGCACTCGAAACATGTATTTGCAAGTTTCACCAGCCGAGATGCGACGTACGATCTGATTGTGAACATCTGGAAACTGGGCCATCCCACTTTGACCAGCACACTAAACGGGGTTCGCTTGGAGGGAACGGGTGGCGACAAGACCGAGAAGGAAGATTCTGCAAAACCACCGCAGTTGGAGACTGAACCCCAAGAGGAGTCGGATAGCGAGGAGAGCAGCGATGACGAAGGTGACGAATTCTATGATGAAGAGGAGCATGAAGAAGCTCCTGTCAATGCCCCAGTAGAACCCAGTGGTGAAGGAGAAGTCGAGAGGGCGGTGACAAGGAAAGCATCGGCAATGACAACAGGAACTGTGGTCACCACTGCGCCACAAGGCAAAGACGGTGCTTCTCCAAACGGACCTGCCGATTTCCCCGGTCCATTAACGCATGCCCCTACAGAGTGTGGCGATGCCGCGACTCACTACGATAGGGTGGTCGGCGATGATGTGATCCAGGCTCCCTTGGGCCAGGTCTATGGCATCATATTCGGCCAACAATCAACTACGTGGATGGTCAATTTCTTGACCGAAAATCAGAAAGGAACCGAGCTCCAGTTTGAGGATAAGAAAGGTCTCAGCCTTGATAACAAGAGCCGGACATATACATTCATCAAGCCACTATATGGTGCTATAGGGCCGAAGCAAACCCGGTGTACGATTACAGAAACAGTGGACAACCTCGATTATGAGAAGGCAGTCAACCTCAGCGTTTCAACGCAAACCCCTGATGTCCCAAGCG